GGCATTAAGAGTCATTGCTTATCTTTAAATGACACTTAGTTTATAGGAAATTCTAGAACACTTTCTGATTATGAGTCTTTTACATGTATTTGAAGTTATGCATCTTCCAAAAGAATTGTCTATTCTTCCATAAAATATCTGGCCTTGTATCCTCATTTTTGTGATTTTTATTAAAGTTTTGGTTAACAGGATGGCTAGTGAATATATTATTGGTAGAAACTTTCTGATACAATTAACCAAGAACCATGTCCAAAGAAGGCCAAGGTTGTTTCATCTGTAAGGTGATGGCCTGAGTTTTTGAGGGATGCAAAAAGTGTTCTGTTTATTAACTAACTTCAAAAGGGTCACACCATCCATGGAGAGTACTATGCCAATTTGTTGAGGGAGTTATGAAAGGCTATCAAGACCAAATGCCCACAAAAACTGGTTTGGTTTCAAAGGCTGCTGTGCATGACTGGTTGATCATCCTGCCTATTCTCCTGATTTGACTATCATCTGTTCCCCAACATAAAAAAAATACTTGGCTGGGAACCAGTATTGCAGTGATAATGCCATATCTGCTGTTAATGACCTTTTTGGATCAACAGGATGAAAGCTTCTTCACCAATGGGATCCAGGCACTGCAACACTAATAGAAGTGTGTGAACTGCAAGGGGAGATATGTTGAAAAATAAATACAGACACATTTAGTGGAAAACCACAAATAACCCCCTTCAGCTTGTGGAAGAGGACAGCAGAACAGGGAGTGGGTGAGATAGTAAAAAGATAAATATTGCTTAGTTATAAAGGATAGGAAGTTGTGAAGAGCTATGATCTACCACATTCAGAAGTTACACAACACATTTCTCAAGTTGTGTTTAAAAATTAGAACCTCTAGGATCTTGGTTGCTAGGTGATTTATTTTTTTATTTGTTAACTAGCAGCCATACCCAGCTGGTTGATCAGAAAAAGCATTCAATTAGAATGGAGCAAAAACAGCATCATGTTTAGATGTAACAGAGTCTATCTTCTTCAATTACTTTAAAGTACTTTCATTAAAATAAGATTTTGAATTAATGCCGTTACTGATATAACAAAAGTAGTCTGTATTTATTCAAGTTAGCTGAGGACTTCAAGGGGTAAAACAGGCAACATGAAGACCCACTTCAGACCACAATTATTTTGGAGTTTTTGAAATTCACTTTGTCAGTGTTCTACCAGGGATATAAAAGAGGATACATTTACAAAGCAATTGTTAAATTTGATGAAAATTGGTTGAAAGATCAACAAGAAATAAGAAAGAAAGCATTAAAAATCACCAGTCTTCGCTATTTACACGGGTTTTCACTATATGGGTGGACTCAATTATCAAGTTAAATGACTGTTAAGCAATCAACTTACTGTTGGCTACAATTGAGTGAAGTTTGTATTAGATTGCTTGAAAATTGAAGGAGTTTTTAGTTAAAAATTTTTTCTTTTTTTGCTAAATGCAGTGGCATAGAAATAAAAAATGAGGTATTGTTGAGCTTGTCATGATTTAAGTAACCTACATACTGTGTTTGAACAAACTTGGAGGAAAGAAACTGTATTGATTGATTTTTGATTAGCTTTATCGATTTTTATGCTATGAACCTATCTCTTACATTGTACAATGTATTTGCCAAGTTTGGTCAAAATCGTTTGGATGGATTTCGAGTGAAAAGATATCACACAGACATCCTCTGTTTTATATATATATATATATATATATATATATATATATATTATTGAAAAATATATCTGTATTTTGTCACTTAGAAATAAATATTACTCAAAAAGTTTAGTCTATTTTAGTGTTTGGTTTAAAAAAATTTTTGTTTATATTTTCACTCCAATAATGTAATGAAGATGCAATGGGGTTTGGGTAAGAAAATGAGAAGACATTAGTGGAGAGATTTTTTTTTTTTTTTTTTTAAGAAGACAATATCATTCCACAGATATTATTAATATTAGTAGTAACTAATATAGAAAAGAATTAGAAAAAAAAAACATTTGTGTACAAATTCAATGTTACACTGAAAACTGTTTTTCTTTTCAAGTATTATTTAATTTAATCATTGACTTTTTTATAATCATTTCAAGCCAATAAGATGCAAGGAGTTACTGACTATGAAAGAATCCGAGAACAATAAAAGAACAGGATTCAAGTAAACAGAAGATGACTATTGATGTTGCATTTAAATTTGTGAAGATCAATGTTGACTGGAAAGCAAGATGATGAAAGAATTTCACAAGTGAGAAGTGTAAGAGAAGAAACTGTTAGCATAGAACTTATGGTTGCATCTAGTTATTTCAAATGTAAAATTATGAGACCTAGCTGCCAATCTAGTACTGCACTCCAATTATTTACATGTGGATTATTGTACTCATCTTTGTTGTTATTACAAAGTTTCAGCCATTGTACTTTCCAGCCTTCATCAGGTGTCTATCAATCAGGGTTGCCAACCATGAATTTGAACCAAAGCCTTTATCTATAGTAGATTGTTTTTGTTCCACTGCCCATGTCTAGGGATATCGTGTTTAGTTCTTATCTATAATACTGCTCAGTTATTGCTTGCCCTATTTCCACTGAGTCCAAATAGACACTGCCTGGCCCAGGGATTGAACTCACAATTATTATGTCACCAAATTCATAAACCAATGTTTTATTTAATCTACTAGACTATTATCCATGTAAATAATGATAGTAATGATTGACTTATTCACTAAATATCCATCCACTCCTGCTCACATGCACTTGTGGTGAGCTAATGTGTTTAAACCATGTGTCTGTCTTCAGTATGTATTGTTCTAAGCGTAAATTTGAATGAAAAATATTCATATAAAAAAAAACTACCAATACTTTTCACTCTGTTAAAATGCATCACATTTCTAGCAATCGCAGCTTTGTAGATTGGCTTCTAACAAATAAACCAGCTTCTATTTAATATGAACAAAGTTTCAAATCCAGTGTCAATTTATGCAATCTATTTTGGTTTGATACTAACACAAATAGTACGTCTTCTATTGATTGAATAGTCTGTATATAAGAATAGTGTGTGAAAACCATATCCCCCCCTCTCAACCCTTATTCACTGCAATTAGGTATTAAAATATGCCAGCTGTTTTATTTGACAAATTTATCTCTGCTAAGCAACTGCAAAGTTTGTTATGCGATAATTAGTGTTCTTCAGCTACCAGGTCAACAAACATTTCACACCGGCATTGTATCAAGGTCGACAGTAAATTCTTGTCCCAATCTGGCCTATTGTTTTTTTATCCGCCTGAGGATTCAGCAATATAAATCTTTAGGAAACAACTGTTGTCCATGACCATTGATTTGTGGCTTTGTTCAACAGAACATTTTAACAAGTTTCAAAAACACATTTTCCTAAAAAGTTTAAGTACGGCATTTAATTAATATTAAAATTATTACCAACATTATTTAGCTACTCTATAAATAAATTCTATTTTGATCATGTCTGTTAACATACTGTAGAAAAATATTTTTATATGTTTGTGAATCATACATTGTGAATATATTTGTAACATTGTGTAATCAAAGATGAGGATTTTGATGTTATGCGTACTTAAAGTGAGTTTTTGACAAAATTCAAAGAATGTTCAGTGTTATCATTCCTGACAAGGCATCTCGGCTTTAGTCACTTTCTTACTACTATAATATAGCTTCCTTGTACAATATAAATACTTTCATAGTTGTTCTGTGGAGCTCTCCTCTTTGGTACCGCGACTTCATGAATTTAAATGCAGTACTAGATTGGCAGTTAGGTCTCATAATTTCACTGTTGAACTTGCTAGTTGCAAACATAAGATCTCTGCTAATAGTTTCTTCTATCGCAATTTTGCCTGTCGAACTCTCTTCTGGCTACGTGCTTTTCTGTCAATTAGGATGTTTGAAAAATTAAACGCAATGCCAGTCGTTATCTTCTATCTCTTTGAATTCTGGTCTTTTATTGTCCTCTCTCCCAAATAACGATTTCTCAGTTTCTTTCACTCTTAGTAACCCCTTGCATCTTAATAACATTATCACTTTGCTTGGGGTAAACTGATTAAAAATTTAATAATAATTTTGTGCACCTCTATATGGAGATATTTACTATCATAAGAAAAATTAGTAGAACTTCGACATTACAAAATCTTTCCTTTTTTGTATTTATAATCAATATTTTCCAGTATTTCTTCAGTTATCCTGATACTTTAGGACTGCAGTTGAAAATATATGTTCAAAGAATACAAAATTCCACATAACTGGATACCTAAATTATAGAAAAAGAATGAAAAAAAAAAAAAAGGTCATTTTCTGAAAAAAACCTTAAAATTTCTATCATCAAATAACATTTTTCAAAGACTTTGTTCAAAGTTTTGTCCAGTTTATTTTTTATTTTTTTTATGAAAAATGCATCAATTTTTGTCTGTTTCTGGCTGACCACACATTTTTCTGCTCACTCCCAAAGTTGCATTAAAGTCAAATGTATTTGTAAAGTTAGCTTCTGGTTGAAAGCATTAAACATTTAAGACTTAAACATTTGTCAGTGTTTGAAATTAGGCTTTCAGGGCTATTGATCTTTAACATGGCCAATAGCGTTTATCCTCCTCTTCAACATTCTCCGGAATAGTTATTATTCATTTAGGTGTTCATACCCAAGGCCGTCTACATTGAGCTAGTCATTTACTTCCGTTTCATTACATCAAGTTTTAACACTGCAAATTGCTCAATAAATGTCTGGTTTTCTAAATTGTCAAAAGGCTTGCATGAAATGAAATATGAGAATGGGTTTAGTTTGTATAATTGAGAAATGCTTGGTGAATTTCAATTTTTCTCCTCATTTTGTGTCCAGATAAAGTCCATTAAATCAAGAAAGTGCTTTATTATAAATTTTAAATAACTGGGAATAAAAAATAAAAAATTCACTTTGTAAATGAAGCCTAAAGTATTCATTCTTGATTGAAGACAGAAATTTTTTCATATCTTGTTTGCAATTATGCCATTTATAATAAACCAACTTTTTCTTTTCGATGTAATCAAGTCACATGAGGCTTTTTGGTAAATATTTGGCAGTTGGTATATCTTACTAATTTGATCTAAATTTGTGTGTATGTGTACATAAGCCTGACTATACAAATATGCTTACCTAAGTATACTATAGAAGCATTCATGGTGAGTAAATGAATGACAAATAGGGAAAAAATTCTGTATAATGCATTTTGTTCTTCAAAAGGACTTCATAAAACTAAAATAATGTTTTTTTTTTTTGTTTTTTTTCAACTCACTTTACCCAAGCAAGGCAATAAAGCCACTAAGATGCAAAGAGTTACAGAGTGTGAGAGAACAATAACAGGACAGGAACTAAGAAGACAAAAGATAATGATTGACATTGCATTTAAATTTTTGAAAATTAAAGTGGTTTGGAAAGCAAGAAGCCAAAAAAAAGTCCTCAAGCAAATGATGAGGTCTAGCTACCACGAAGGAAAGTAATATTTATTTTGAAAATAAAAAAATGGGGCACAAGGCTAGAAATGCGTATAGAGGAAGGCTGGGGTTCAATCTGTCTTATCTTAAACTTAGCTAGACACAATTACTGACCCAAACGAACCACAGTATTCCTTACACCAAAACAACACGTTCTTACTTACCATTAAGGAAAGTTCATTGGAATAATTATCATGAAAATATTTATCAAAAAAAGGCACAGGAGAGTTACATTATAGCAAGAGGAAAGCGACTGAAGCCGAGATGCCAGGTCAGGACTAATGACATTGCAGATTTTTCTTTGTATTTTATCAAGAATCTCTAAATATATTTCAGAAGCACCAGAGCAGATGTGGCCGCAATACTCAATGCATGGATGAATAGTGGACTTATAAATGTGTAAGATAGACAATGTTTATCTCCAGAATCTTCCACAAAACGGAAAACTAACTTACCTGATAGCAGACCTAGTCACTTTCCTGGAGGTTAGCATCCGTCATACTGATGGAAGGCAAAATAGGTTCTCTTAGATGATTAAAAGAGAACATTTTGGAAACATTAAAATAGTTAACAAATTGTAGGTCATGTTTGAGCTCAGCTGCAAAATTTAACCTTATTGAACTGATCAGATTTACTACTAAGACAGGCGTAAATAGTTGTCATCACCATATATACCAAGTTGAGAAGTGATGGCATCAGGAAGGTTGTTGGTAAAAATTAGGAACAACACGGGTCCAAGGATAGAGCTCTGGGGAACACTTGCATTAATGCAAAAAGATCTAGAGGAGTGGCCATTCAAGATGATATTCATTTTGCGATTCAATAAAAAAAACTGAATCAGTTCAAAAATTCACCAAGAAATACCATAACCTTTCAACTTGTAAAGAAGATCAGCATGCCAAACTCTTCCAAATGCCTTCTAAAGAAACATCCCGAGTTTCCCCATTCTCATCTAAAGCTTGATAGACCCTGCAATAATTGCTAATACTTCAGAAGTTGAACTAGAGAAGGATCCAGTTTAGAGATGATAAACTAGAAACCATAGGTGGAGTTATATGTATATCACTCAATACTGACTCAATTCTTAGTTGAAAGTCAGGCAAAGATAATCCAGATGAGTCAAGAGTATAATTTGAAGAGAATTTACAAGCAAAACATTCTGCTTTATCATCAGAAGATGTTAACACTTCAAATTGAGTAAAGAGAGGGAGGGAATAGAAGACTTAATCTTATTCAACACCTTATTTACAGAGCCACCAGTATTCATGAGAACCTAAAATTGTAAGAGGCTATACGATGACACATTCTTTCAGCAAACAATGACTTAACTCTTACAACACTCTTACAATTATGAGAAAACACAAAGTGGTGTCTATTGTGATTGGAATTATCAACACTGGTACAGACGTAAAAAGTAATTCAATCAAGAGGAATTAAGATGTAGGCATGCTAAACTTTCAATTTCTGGCATCTGATGTGTTGAGACGTACAGCTTAGTCGAGTTCAGAATCCTAGTGTTTTTGTTTTTTTATCACTGTTTTTAAATATCTCACATTGTGATTGCAGTACATTTAAGAAAAGTGAAATGTAGTATGAACCTGGATGCAAATTTATTGTGGAAGACTCAGAAATTAGTGCACTTTCTATACATTTTTGACTTAATTACTTTCTCTTTTAGTTAAAACTGCATTCAGGCAGTATATTCTTGGACTCAGTAGAAACAAGGGGTGTAATAACTGAGCAGTAATATAAATAAGAACTATACCCCAAACCACATTAATAACATGCTAGTGAAATTTAAGATTTCTTGGCTATCTATGAATTGATTTTGATAAAACTTTCCCCAGCTGGTTTGCACAATATGGCAACACCATTGTTAGATTTTCATTATTCTGTGTAATGTCCTTTTTTTATTTCAGATTCAACATTTTTTGAGTGAATCATAGCTTTTGAATGAAAATAGCTCATCTAGACATTTTTTGGAGAAAATGAAAGATGATGATACAACTGGATCGTTTCTTCTTTGTTGAAGGATCCTGTCCACATGATGACCTAACTTTTCCGCAGTGACATGAAGAGAGTTGCCTTTAGCACTTTCCTTGATAATGACAGACATTTCTTCATTGTTGAGGCCTTTTCCACGTCCTATTGTTCTTAGAGAGGAGAGGCACTATTAGTGTGGTTCACTCCAAAATTGTTGAATCTGAAATAAAAAATAAAAATAAAGGGTGTTACACAGAATAATGAAAACCTAACAATGGTGTTGCCATATTGTGCAAAACCATCTGGGGAAAGTTTTATCAAAATCAATTCACAGAAAACCCGAGAAATCCTAAATTTCACTACCATGCTATTAGCATAGTTCAGGGTGTAGATGAGATATCCCTGGACATCGAACGAGAACAGTCTACCCCCCATAGATTAAATAAAGGGTTCAGTTCCCTGTAGGTCACCCAAATCGACATACACCTGATGACAGCTGGAAGATACAATGGCCAAAATGTTGTAATAACAACAACAAAGTTAAGGATAATAGTCCAAATGTAAACAGTGTAAATAATGCATTCTTTAAGTCGAAATTATGGACAGGTCTGTACTCTGAATGGCTCATGTAATGAGTGAGTCATTTTGTAAAAAGATCCTTTTTATGCTCATATACATTTTCAATTAGCATTCATTTTAAGAGATAAACACATAGAAACATGAACTCTTAAGGCTGCACAAAGATGTCTTCTTCTTCATAATATATGTGTAACATTCTTACATCTACAAATATCGCATACAACTGTAAATAACTCTGTTATATATTTTAATTCTTACAGAAATCCAAGGTTTGTTGTTTTTCTTTGGCATGTGATTTGGTCAAGCAGTTGTAGAGAGAGAGAGTGACGTTGAATAGCTGCTCTCATCCTCTTTCATTATCAATGGGAAATGACACTTAACAAAAGTCTGGTCATTGCCTTTATATGGCAAATAACACTAATCAGAAATTACCAGAGCAAAAAATACAACTTTTGTTGCTACTTATCTATTAGGCTATTCAGATAATACAAACTCACAAATACATGCTAGCAATTCTTTGTCTATTTTCCATTTTTGTTTCTCCTTTGATAAAAGTCTTTTCAAACTGAGTAAGGATTTTGGCAGGTATAATGTTTCATCTTTGGGGTTAGAACTGAATTTTTTTTTCTTCTGTACACATTTCTCTACATTCTGAATAATCTTCCACTTTCGAACTTATTACCAACATATTTGGATCTAAAAAGCAAATGTTTACATTAACAAATGGGAGATGAATTCATTGATGAATTAGAAAGTTTGTCTATATTTAGATATTTATTAAAACATGAAAATAAAAAAAACTGATATATAAAATCTGTGAAACTTTTTTTTTTCAAATTTTGTAAACTACAAATAATTTTTTTTTCTTTTTTTTTAACACAAAGAATTTATAAATCTTAACACTTTTATTATAACACTCCTTCCCAGTCTTTTGAACAGGAGTAGAGGTTTATCCCTTGTGTCCTGTTTAGGATTGGTTTTCTGGATTCTTCTTAAGCCTATTTCAATTCTATATTTCTAATGTCTTTGAAATATTATTTACTTTTTTTCTTCTCAATCATCATCATCACTCAACCATAGTCTGGATCATCAAGCCAATGCGAACAATCCTTTCTTTAGCTGTGTAGTATGTGCTACACCAGCGCTGCATATAGTTTTGAATTCAGAGTTACTTTCTCCTAGACCGGTTGCCACCCAAGGCTATAGAACGCAGTCTGTTCTGCTATAGCTGGTGGGGAGAAGAGGAGGATTCATACCCTTTCCCAAGGGTCTTAGCATATAAGTGAATGTAATGGATCCAACTTGAATTTGAACTTGAAGTAGATATGTTTTCTATCATCTGGTTCACACTCTTTCCTGGTCTTTTAAACAAGAGTAGAGGTTTATCTCTTGTTTCCTGTTTAGGATTGGGTTTCCAGTTCCATCTTAAACCTATATCAACTCTATACTTCTAATGTCTCTACCTGAATTCTGAAATTTTATTTACTATTTTTTTTCCTTCTCAGTAGGAGTAGATAGATTTGCCTATCATCCGGGTCACACTCCTCCCTGTTCTTTTGAACAGGAGTAGAAGTTTATCCCTTGTGTCCTGTTTAGGATTGGGTTTCTAGTTCCTTGTAAAGTTTTCTCTTTCACTTCCAGTAACCAATTGCATCTTGCATTATCACCTTGTTTGGTTTATTTTGTTTAATGGCATATCAACTTCAATTAGTTATTTAATGCTGACAACATTTTTAGGATAGATTCGTATGAATAGAGTATGTATTCTTTGGTTTAGATTGGTTTGGTTTATTTTGTTTTACAGCATATCAACCTCAATGGTTTATTTAATGCTGGCAAAAATTTTTATTGCTGGTAATATTTTGTTTTGTCAAAAATCTGTTTCTGGTAATATATTTCGTTCAAAATTGTATTGCTGGTAATAGTTAACTATTTGCCTATATCTGGGACCCTAACAGGTGCTACCACCCCGGGTCAAGGTGGACCTGGGAACACCAGCAATTAAGAGGTGGTTCCATGCCCCTCTAAACCTCCTGATCAGCGGCCTTGCTGCTGGACGTAGTTTAACATCTTACTCAGGACGCGGATGTAGTTTAACGTCTTACCTAGGATGGATCACCTTGCTTGGTGTGAATCAAATAAATAAGTAAGAAATGATTAAAAAAAAAATTATATAAAGTAAATACAGTGCAATTTTCATTCTAGAAATCATAGGACAATGTATCAAGAATTTAAATTTTCGTTTTCACTTTTTATTTACTTTTTGTAAACATTTTGTAAAAGGTGTTCCAATAACTTGGACTGATTTTAAATGTGAATTAATTTTAAGTGTCTAATGATTTTCTTCTTTTTCTTTCAGATTTAACAACTTAAGCCATTGGCAATTTCAACCATGGAAAGATTAACAATCAAATGTGTTAAAGTTATCAAAGTCTATTACGAAAATGGACATTCAAACAGAAATGCATTTTCACACTTCATGATTATTTTGGCCAACATAATCGACCAACAAAAAGTGCAATTGGAAATAATGTAATGTAATGTTGTGGAAAGGTTCAATTCCTGCATGCAATGATGAATAGAGGGGGGTCTGGATTTTTGGCCACATTCTCATGCACTGCAGCAATGTTTTCAGCTGAACAGTGTAAACAAGCATGTAATAGTGTTTTCATATCTGCCACCGATGCAGTTTGTTTGAATTTACAAACAATTTTTCTAATTGCACTCTTGAAACGTTAACATGTTTGATTGTTAATCTTTCTATGGTTGAAATTGCCAAAGACTTAAGTTGCTAAATTTGAAAGCAAAATAAAAAAAAAAATCATTAGTCTCTTAAACTTAATTCACATTTAAAATTGGTCCAAGTTATTGGAACACCCTTTACATATATATATATATATATATATATATATATATATATATATATATATGTTTAAAATTTGTTATGTTTATGGAGGAAAAGTGACAGAGAGAGATTTTTTAGATTTCGATAGTGAAATAGAAATCAAATTTGATGGTCAATTGAGGCATAAAGCTGATATTCACTATGCAGTGTTGATCAAGTCTGTTCATATCTATCTATCTATCTCAGTCTGTTCATATTCATCTATCTATCTCAGTCTGTTCATATCTATCTATCTATCTCAGTCTGTTCATATCTATCTATCTATCTCAGTCTGTTCGGTTCATATCTATCTCAGTCTGGTTCCATATCTATCTCAGTCTGTTCATATCTATCTATCTATCTCAGTCTGTTCATATTATCTATCTATCTCAGTCTGTTCATATCTATATTATCTATCTCAGTGGTTCATATCTATCTATTCATCTCAGGTTCATATATCTATCTCAGTCTGTTCATATCTATCTATCTCAGTCGGTTCATCTATCTATGTTCATCTATCTATCGCATTGTGTTCATTTTGGTTTTTGTAAACATTTTATATTAGCAGAATCCTCACCACTTTTTTTTTCTTCATATTGCATTTACAGTTAACTGAAGAACTGAAACCGCCATTTGTATTCTTGTTTGTATCTGAATAGAATCAGTGAACCAGTAGGAAGTTTATTCTCAGTCTTGATGTTGGCCATCAAAAATTTCTGTATAATTAGAACCAATTATTGAAAATAAATTCATTCGTCTCCATTTTATTATTTGCTGTATCGTTTTGCTTGGAGAATAAAATCATTCATATGACTTCAGTGACTCAAATAAACAAAGCAACAAAAGTCCTTTTGTTCAAAAATGTTTTACACTTTATTATAAAACCTTACATGTCCTCTATGAAACATTATATAATTTTATAAAGTACATACTACACAATACTTTATAAAGAAAGACAAAAGGAAAACTTTCTTAGCCAACATGTTTCATCCTTTATCAAAACTTTGATGGACTTTATCAAAACAATTGCCTTGATTATGTCCATCAAAGGACGTGTCATTTAGAATAAGTTTTTCTTTTGTCTTTATTTGTATTTTGTCCATTTACAGATATATTTTTAGTTATATTTGAAATTTTACACAATACTTTATCAATGGCTGTTGTAATGCGTCTAGTGTGGTAGTCTGTAGTGGTAGTGCTTGTTGCTTCTCGTTTTCAGTTACCGCCGCTGACTAGCAGCAATGCGAAAAGGAGAGCTGAGTGCGTAAGTCTTCCCCTGCCAGTATATAGCCTCTCCATCAGCAAGCCCTATGTAGTGTCTCCTCGTGACGACACATGGCAACCGGGCACCTTGCGAACTCTGGCTAAACTACGGAGGACAGGGGAGGAGTTTGGCCCCCTTAACATGTGGTATGCAGACCCACCAGTGTGTGGACACTCTCTGGTGCCCATGAATCAAACCCCAGCTATGGGTTAAATAGCTCAACTGCCTTGTGGAAATCTTCAGGAGAAGAAAAGGCTAAGGATTAAACCCTACACAAATCCAGAGTGGAGTCCCTAAAGCAGATGGACGGCACTCTGTGCTACCTTCTGGCAACTCCTGCAGCCGTGCTGGGACCAAACTGTAGTGGTCCATTCTCTTCTTTGGACTCTGCTAGCAAGTCCGAGAAGAGGAACTTGACATCCGGGCAGCCCTAGTTCTCCATACATCCTGCCCAGGCTTGTGGCGCACTGGAGAGGACACTTCAGAGTGCTACTCCATCGTCTCCTGAGACGGATGGATGCTGAACCGAACCAAACCAACGTTATCAACAAAAGTGATATCTATTTACGCTATTTACATTGTTTAAACTATTGTCCTTTAGTGTCATATTCACAATATTTTGGCTGTTGTACACTCTGCCTTTTTCAGGTGATATACATTGGAATTTTGAATTGAACCCTTTATTTCGTCCACTGGGGTAGATTGTTCTAGTTCCACATGCCATGCCTTTTCTGGATATTTCAGTTTCATTAAATTCCCTTTAGTGATTCAACACTCCAAGTTTTTGTTCACCTCTGCTGTTGCTCACATTTCTTTGGGTGAAGTCACTGGCTTACTTCAACCAACACTTTTATCCACTGAGCCAGGTATCTCACCTGATGAAGGCTGGAGTGTACAATGGCTGAAACGTGAATATGGCAACAAAGATTAGGACAACGGTTTGAACAATGTAAATAGTTACAATAGCTCATCTCACAAATAAAGATAGATCCTGAAGAAGTCCAGAGAGTACAATGTCCGAAACATCATGAATATAGCAACAAAATGAGGACTGCAGGCAGAAAAATGTAAACAATGTAAATAGTTACAATACCTCATCTCAGAAATAGAGACAAATGTTAAAAGTGATATCGATGCATTTTTTTTTTTTTTTATAGCTAAGGTGATATTAAAAAGACTTTTCCTGGGAAAAATTGTTTTGCATAAGTCACCATAAGACATTATATTTTATTTATTCATTTATTTCTTCTTATATTTCTGTTACTGCTTAACGGAAAAGAAATTATGAATTTGTTAATTTTTAGATTTTAATGCTTATTTTCTTTTCTTCTTTTCAACTTGTCCCTGACTCATTAAAAGTAATAAGATAACAAATAGATTTTTGATTAGAGACTTGACATTATTTATAAAACAGATGGAGAATATAAATCATCTTCTTCGCTTGAATATTGTTTTCCAATCTCGTTTACATCTCTTAATAATGGACTATAAGTTTTCTACTGGATTAATATCTGAAAAGGTGAGGAGTCATTTTATTAATTTGTCCTATTTCTTGTCAAAGTGGCCAATAGTCAGCTTTGTAGATGGTGAAGAAGCATTGCCTGACTGTTTAGTTTAAAGCTTCTTTATTGTGACTGGTACCACTGAAAAATGTCTTATGATTTTATCTTGATACCACCAGCAACTTTGAACAGATCTATAATTCTTAGGAGAGTGATAAAAGAGATTGCTAACAGAGTTCAATGCAGAAAGTCGAAAGCGCATGAAAGAATCATCTAGGGATTAAGGAGACAATTCCCAGTCTATAATTAGATCTATGTTTCTGAGGGTTTGTGGCCATATCACGTTGAAACAGTGGTTCCTGTATGATCACCAAAGTTAAGCAATGTTGAGCCTGGTTAGTACTTAGATGTGTGACTATTTGGGAATACCTAGTGTTGTAAGCTTGGATGTGCAGGTAGTGTAATGGATAATGGCTTGGAATTGTTAATCGGAGAGCTGAGCTCAAATTACAGGTGTGTTTGTTATATTCACTTAGATACAAATACCCTTGGGAATGGTATGAATCCACCCCTTCTCTCCCCAGCTATGGTTTAATTATAATTAGTAAGACTTGTATCACTAAATCATTATTATTGCCAAAAAAAAATTCTAACAATCTAAAAAGTATTTTCTAGTTTTAAATAACCTGCCAACGGTTGATAACACGTAAATAATGAATCAAACAATGACTACAATACTAATCTAAAACCTCACTCTATATGACCTCTGTTGTTTTCTAAGTTGTTTTGGTTGATTATTTCTATGAAGGGCACACCTTCTAGCCTCTCCATCAGGAGCATCCAATGTAGCTCTACATTCATGACTAAAAATTATCGTTGAGAAATCAGTTTTCATGTACTACTTTATTCAACTTGCATGTTTCTCTGTATGATGTTTACTTAAAGGTGGTAGTCTGGTTGGTTTCACATCTTTATTTATTCTGCATCTTCAGATATTTTCTGGCTGGACAATCCAACTTTATGTTTTTGCAGATCTCTTGTGACATTATCTTGCCAATATTTTCAGTTTTTGTCATCTTCAACTTTTTCTGCAATTTCTAACCTTGTATTCTTATCGCTCAATAACTTTACATTATCTTTGCTTCACTTTTAAGATTATAACTTTCTTATGACTCATGGCAATTTACATATACTGACATATGTTGGAATCCTAACAGTAGTTCATATTGTTGAAGTTATCAATAAAATATTTCGTTGAGATCTACACATTCTACTCTCCCCACTGTATTTATATTTCCAATGACTACTAGTTTGCATTATATTTTACCAGAATAAAATATATATATATATATATAAAAAGAAAGAACAGTAAGATATATAATCCAGAGTTCCTATTGATATTTTTATTTTATATATATATATATATATATATATATATATATATATATATAACATTAGTGGTCAAAATATATTTATTTATTTATATATATATATATATATATATATAACATTAGTGGTCAAAATTTATTTATTTATTATATATATATATATATATATAACATTAGTGGTCAAAATTTATTTATTTATATATATATATATATAACATTAGTGGTCAAAATTTATTTATATATATATATATATATATATATAACATTAGTGGTCAAAATATATTTTTATATATATATATATATATATATATATAACATTAGTGGTCAAAAATATATTTATTATATATATATATATATATATATATATATATATATATAACATTAGTGGTCAAAATATATATATATATATAACATTAGTGGTCAAAAAATATATATATATATATATATATAATATTAGTGGTCAAAAATATATATATATATATATATATATATATAACATTAGTGGTCAAAAATATATATATATATATAACATTAGTGGTCAAAAATATATATATATATATATATATATATATAACATTAGTGGTCAAAAATATATATATATATATAACATTAGTGGTCAAAAAATATATATATATATATATATATATATAACATTAGTGGTCAAAATATATATATATATATATATAACATTAGTGGTCAAAATATATATATATATAACATTAGTGGTCAAAAATATATATATATATATATATATATATAACATTAGTGGTCAAAATATATATATATATATAACATTAGTGGTCAAAATATATATATATATATATATATATAACATTAGTGGTCAAAATATATATATATATATAACATTAGTGGTCAAATATATATATATATATATATATATATATAACATTAGTGGTCAAAAATATATATATATATATATAACATTAGTGGTCAAAAATATATATATATATAACATTAGTGGTCAAAATATATATATATATATATATATATATAACATTAGTGGTCAAAATATATATATATATATATATATATATATATATAACATTAGTGGTCAAAATATATATATATATATATAACATTAGTGGTCAAAATATATATATATATATATATATATATATATATATATATATATAATATATATAATATATATATATATATATATATATATATATAACATTAGTGATCTATATATATATATATATATAATATTAGTGATCTATATATATATATATATATATAACATTAGTGATCTATATATATATATATATATATATAACATTAGTGATCTATATATATATATATATATATATAACATTAGTGATCTATATATATATATATATATATATACATTAACATATATATATATATATATATATATATATATATATATATATATATGTTTATTTAGGCAGCAATTTTTCATTAATGCATGTTTCATTAAATAATATAGACAAGTTTATATATATATAAACTTAAAGAAGAGATATGCAAAAAATAATATTGTATCTATATTAAATAAGTATTAGTTATTTTAAATATTAAATTAAGTTTTTAAAATAGTGCGAGTATTTTGTATGTTATGAAAATTTATTGTACTAAGCTATGTACCCCATTAAAACCAACTGTAATTTGTACCCCACTTACCTGTTTGCACATCTACCCAAAATTTGGTTTCCATCAGTTACTGTTTTAGTGGGTGCGATGGATTGACTAACAGAAGTCACAGAATATTATATATAATGCATAAAAAGGTTAATAGAGTGAAATCAGACCAGGAAACAGTCCGCCCTCTTAGCTGGGGCTTCAGAATACACAGATTGCACCTCTGCAGAAGGGTAAGACCCCCACCTCCACCAAATGAGGCGTCCTGGGTAAGACGATAAACTACATCTGACAGCAAGGTCTCTAATCAGGAGGTTTTCAGGAGCGTGGAACCACCTGTTAGTTGCTGGTATTCCCAGGTCCACCCTGACCTGGGGTGTAGCACCTGCTAGGGTCCCACCTATGGACAAATAGTTAACCCCCAAATTGGGGTCAAAATGCTATAAAAGCACAAAAATAGGTTTTAATACTAGCAATACATTTTTGAAAAAAAGAAAATTATTACCAGCAATACATTTTTGAAAAAAATATTACCAACATTATATTTTTGAAAAAAGTATATTACCAGCAATAATAATCTTGTCAACATTAAATAACCAATTGTGTTTGATACACCTCAAAACAAGACAAACCAAACCAAATCTGGAAACAGTAGTATTAAAAAATGCTCAATACACGTGTGATAAAATAAAAGTAAAATAACATGTAGAGCTTTTAACTTTAAAAATCAGGAGGTCAGTTGATGTGTGTGTGTGTGTGTGTGTGTGCACGCATGTTCACATTGCCCATCAGCTCCTATAAGAAGCTCATCAACCCTTTGACAGGTTTTGTTTATTGTTTTTTATCCTGGAAGATAACATGCTATCTTCCTCACCAGCAGAAAAGCTACTGGGGAGCTGTTTTAGATCTCAACCACTTGTTTATGTGGCAGATTGTACTGGGTTACATGTTACCAGTAGCAGGCAAATCTCTTCTGAAATTTAACTTCTGTTTTTGTGGCATCATCAAATGATGTATCACATAATTTCTGAAATTTACTAGTGTCATCCAATATAGATGACATTTTATTTATATAATCAGAATAATTCAGAATAACACAACACTAGATTCTCATGTGAGCTGAAAGCTTAGGACCAGCTTAATGAAAAAAAATATCCAAATGTTGGACAATTTTTGTCTTTATTTTCACCAGAAATTAAAGCAAACATTCAAACAATAGAATGGCTCATGATCAGATGTAATAGACATTCACTGTCTGTTATATTTAATAATATATGTTTAAATAATGATCTGCTGTCCCAATACACTAAATTCTAGTTAGTTTATATATATATATATATATATATATATATATATAAACACATAAAAGGTTAATGGTCAGAGTTGAATCAAACCAGGAAACAGTAGTATTAAAAAGTGTTCAATACATGTGTGAAAAAATAAAATGAAAGTAAAAAGTAACATGTAGAGCTTTTAACTTTAAAAATCAGGAGGTCAGATGAATTCGCTACTTTGGTTTCAACCTTATGGTATCCTCAGCCAATTTTTATCAAATGATCTCTTAAAGCTTAATTTAAAAAAAAAAAATAATGAACACTATATGATAAATTTTTTTTATATAAATAAACAAATATATGTCATTGGGTGTAAGAGAAAGGGAGGAGGAGGACGTGAAAAAGGAAGAAGAGAAGAAAAGCAAGGATATTGTAAATGTATCAGTAGGCGGGGCTTAATTGAAATGTACATTTTTTTAATCCAGCCTCATATGTGCTTAAGAGGAATTTTCTAATGTGTAAGCAAGGACTTAAGAATTCAGATTTGTGGTTCAAAAATTACCTAAGGATACCATAAGGTTGAAACCAAGGTAGCAGATTCAACTGACCTTCTGATTTTTAAAGAATATTATATAGATAGATTTGAAATTTAAAATTAAACATCAATAACTATACTATTTTATATATTTAGTTGACAAGCCATTGAGTTGCATAATAAAATCTCACACCCCAAAATAAGTTATTCTAATTATTTCTGTTAGAAACACATAAGCCAAAATTCATATATTTATCTTATCCTGAAAATATTACTAACATTTATGATGATGCAAACATTGATTTCCATAATAAAATCTTACAGAGTGTATGTGCATTAATAGATGGAAATTGTTTCTACCAAAATAAGCTTTCATTTCTTGTAAACCAGAGAAATGTTCTTTTACAATTCCTCAAATTTCCATCCTCCAGAAAAACCATCAATTTTTGTCCATTAAGATCAGCAATCACTGAGCATTTTTTTACATTCTGTTGTTGTCGTTACAGGGAGAAATCGAAGCAACTGGCTGAGCAAAATGCTGCTGTGGCGTGTCTCTTGGTTCTTGGTATCCATGATGGTCGTAAGGAAGGAACTGATGAAGAAGCTAAAGTACTAGCCAAAAAATGGCAACAGATACTGAGTGATGAAGAAGCCCTTACAAAGAATCTTGAAGTCAACCCGCTGCCAACCAATTCCACAGACAATGATAAATTGCCAGTAAATGGAGAAATCAAGCAAGAAATAGACAGCTTTTCAACAAAACTTGATACCTCCAAATCCACTAAGAATTTGACAGAATCCGAACATGAAAATAAAGAAAAGGTTATACAAAAAACCTTTGCTAGTGAAGATTCTTGTACAAGACAAACTGCTGTTAACAGATGACATGAAATTTATTTTTAGTTCTGACTTCCCTATTTCAGGCGAATAAAACTTTTCACTGAAAAATGATTCCTTGGAAGTTTGTGTATTTGATTCCTCTTGAGGACATTTGTTGAAGTGATATTGTGAGATAATCAAAAAGAATTTTTTTGAGAACATGACCACAAAAATAATTTTGATTTCAATTAAGGTAAAGAAAAGTGTTGCTTCTTTGTTCCATGGTTTTTTTTATTTTTTTTTTATTTTTTCGTAAACCAATATTCTTTGGTCTTCATCATTGGTATATTGCATCCAGTGATCTTTAAAATCGCTTAGGGTTTTTTCTTCTTCTTATCTTCCCCATTTTCTCAACTAAAATCTGAGTCCTACAAAATTGCAAGTGAATGTATGAATTTTTAACAAAGAAAAATGTAAAAAAAGGCTAAAAATAAGAAAAGTCAACACTAAATAACATCAACTATGAACACAGCCATGATCTGCTGACCATGTTTGAAAAATAAAATATTCCTATAACTCTAGTTACATACATAAAAAAAATTTGTACATGCAATTAAAAGTAAAAATAAAATCATCCTTGGTAATTGCTAAAAGTAAAGCTAAAAGCACTCGGACATACAGAACATTAAGAATGTTTCTATATAATTTATGTCCAGAAAAGAAAAGAAAAAATTAATAAAAAATTTAACGATCAGTCATTTTTAACAATACATTATTTATATATATATATATATTGAACAATAAAAAATATTAAAAAAATTAAAATCTTCAGACACACTGGGTTGTATATTAATATTCCTTCATTTTTATTATTATTTCATTTAGATTCCTCAACTAGTTTCAGCCAACAAGGCCATCATCAGGAGAAAAATAATTTTCTGCTTGCTGGTAGCAGTAACTACAGAACTGAATCTCTTAATGAGAAAATGAACTTTTGTCTGTAGTTTTCATTTATTTTTTTATTTTTTTAACATGAATTTTGGTCAGTCTTTGTGTTGGTCAAACAGTCTCTTTTAAGTTGTTATTTGAGATAAAAGCTGGATGGATTCATGCTGCTCTGAATTCCCTTGGTTATTTTGACAGTTTTATTGGTTCCTGGAAAGGGAATGTGTCTCTGTTAAGTGTGCGTGTGTGTTATTTGGTTCTTAGGGAGTGAGTGAGTATGATGTGTGTAAGCGCGTATATCACTATGAGTGTGTGTTATCATTTGGTTCATTAGAGAGTGAGTGAGTATGATGTGTGTAAGTGTGTATATTTGTGTAGGTGTGTGTATAAGTGTGAGGCCTCAACACTTCCGTCAGCTGTCTTGTGTGGGCGAGAAATGTTGGTAGGTTTTGATTTGTAGGGTTATATATTAATACTATCTATATTGTTAAATTTATGGTTTAGCCTGACTGGATAGTGTGTTTTTAAACATTGTATCCACTTATTTTCATGGAACTCTAAAATCTTTCTAATGTTATCTGCTGTGGACTTTTCTATTCTCTCAATTATAGTGAATTTGGCATGGGTTTTAAAATCGTGTTTTTCTAAGTGGAAATGTTGTTCTTCAGGTAATAATCTTTCATGGGGAGTCGACTTAATTTGATTGCAATAATTATTAATTCTCTAGTGAAAGGGCCATTCAGATTTCCCGGCATATTGCTTCTGGCATAGTGTGCATTCTAGGAGGAAAATTATGTTATGACTTCTACAGTTAGAGTGTGTATATATATATATATATATATATATATATATATATATATATATATATATAATAGTCTAGTAACTTCGTTTCCTCTTTTGCCACCATGTCCTAATGATGTGATCCTTGCATCATATTGTAATGGTCAATGTCTGATTCTCAGAGTTGGGAGAGGATTCCAACTGCTGAAAAAAAAGAATGAAACTGCCATCCATTCAGTGCTTTTCTGCATGTGTGTGTTGAGGATTCTATGTCTAGGCATGATGAATTATTATGAAAAATTATTCACATCCCCAAATTGCTAATCAGTGAGATATATATATATATATAAAATTCGTAAGTGGTAAGGATAATCCAAGTAGGTCTTTTTAATATAAAATATTCAAAAGATAGATCCATGAAGAGAGCTCAATATATTTATATACAGAGAAATATGATATACATCAAGAAGAAAAAAACTTAACACATTATCGAAGAATCCGGTAATAAATTTATTTCAGTCTGATGAGGCAGATATTAAAAATTTATCTATTGAAATAAATTTTTCCTTCTTGATATATTTTACACATCTCGTTTATCTTAAATGACAAATATAATCAAAGTATAATATATAACTGTGGTAACATTGCAATAACCAGATATTTTTTAAAATTTAAATTACATGATGGTCAGTCTATATTCAGCACCTGAAGATTGAATTGTACATGAAACTCTGAGTCATGCTATCAGTGATATATATATATATATATATATATATATATATATATATATATATATATATATTTATTAATTTTAAGCATGTCTGATTAAATAAATTACAAATATTATGTTTGCTTATTTTTAACATAATCTGTTCATATTCACAGATATTTTTCCATGTATTACAATCAAATGATGCTAGAAATGCCCTGTAACAGTGAAAATCACTTTTATTTTTCAAATTCTTTCCATCTCTTTCTGAAATCATCATCAGGGCTGCAACTGGTAAAGCAAAAACTATGTGTAGCTATCCATTACTGAATTTTTCTATTTGCGTTTATCAATTATGGAATTTTTTCCTTTTACGTTGGAATGTCATGATCAAGCACACATTGAAGCATGAAAACTGTCCTTTTTATAGGCATTTTAGAACATTATCACAGTATTCATAGCTGATTCTGTTCAGTGTCGGCTTCAATTTTTTAATGAAGATTGCTTTGAGGATCTGTAGTTTTAATTTGTTATTTTCTTGGTGTAGGATAGTTGTGTTATCAAACAGAATTTTTCTATACTGTGAATGTGAACAGGAATGTTGCTGTAAAGAGATGAAAAGTACTTGAGAAATAAAAGTGATTTTACAGTGCATTCCTTACATCATTTGATTGTAATACATGGAAAATATTTGTGAATATGAACAGATTATGCTAAAAATAAGCAGACATGATGTTTGTAATTTATTTAATTAGACATGCCTAAAAAAGAATTTGCTGTCTAAATACACAAACATTTATTAATATATATTGTGTGTGTTTTATTACTATAAACATTATTTTAGTGAATACATGTATTTGAATAGACATCATCATTTATTTACAATGAAATTAACATTTACTAGACTAGATCATTAAAATTAAAGAAACTAATTAGTTTTCAATTAATGTTTGAATAAACAGGAATATCTATTCAAATATGTGTGCCCACTAAAATTTATAGCAATAAGAAATAGTCCGATTTTTAAAAGTCCATTAATTACTTTAAAAGAGAAATATATAATTGATTGATTTATTTTTTTATGGCTTATCACTGAAATTGGAACTTGACTCTTTGATTAACAATTCTGTGCTATTATTCATTAAAGACGTCACACATCCAAGCTTACAGCCCCTGGCATTCTGAAGCAGTCACCCATCTAAGTACTGACCAGGTTTGACCTTGCTTAATTTAATGGAGAGTCAAATTACAATTTCAATTGGGTTTGTTATTTTCACTTATGTGCAAATACATCTGTTCTTCCCCCAGCTATGGGTTAATTAGTAAGACTTAAAAATTAAAATCATCATCTCCAAAAAAAAAATTGCATCCAAAATATTTAGATATTAGCATTAAATAACCCATAGAGTTTGATATACCACTAAAGAAAACCAACCAACAATCCTATTGCAATATATTCCTATTTTGTGTGGTACCGTTCTCAGTAAAAACCATACAGAAACCTTCTTTGTCTTTCTCTTCTTTTACAAATCTTGAAATTGGTTTGGAATAGTTGTATAGAGGATTAGCTAACTCTAATAATAATTTATTGATTGGCACAGTTTCTTTTTTTCAGCCAGAGATCTTCCATATTTGGATGAATTTGAAAATTCAAGGTGGGCTGCTTGATTTTATATATTGAGTCATTTAATGATGAAATCAGATTTTATTATTATTTGAGTTTATAAGCATTTACTTGGTTCAAAGATAGGTAAGTTTTTTTTTTAATACTGTTTCTAAATAGAATGCCCAAGAGCCACTCAAGATAGCATTATTGAAGGATGTTGCAAGTGCATAAGAGGAGGAAGTAAGAAGATCAAAGGAGCAAATGTAGAATAGAAAACAGTAGATCCTAGACTTGAAAAAGGCTATGGTCATAGTGATTGGGGAAGCATCCTCTTGGGAGTATGAAGAAGAAATTGTCTCAGTAGAATTTCCTCCTTACCAACAGAATACAATGAGGATGAGTCAACCCTGTGATTGTGATAAAGTAGGTCCTAGCTGTAAAATTAAGAAACGTAGATCATCTGAGTATCTGCAATGAAAATAGTGATAGAGTAGCAACATTTCTTCTGTAGTAAAGTGATTGTAGGGTGGAAAATAATTTATCACCCACAAGGCTGTATAAACTCTTTTGAACTCTGTCAAAAGTGGAAATTAAATTGATGAAATTTGAATAAGCTTATTTGTTTGTAAAAATACTTTGACAAAAACACTACTTTACTGTTTAATAATTTTAATTTAATTTGATTTTATAGGACTTCATGGTAAACAAAATTTTTGAAACAATTTCTTTTTTTTCCTTTTTAATAATGAAGAATAAATTCTTAGGATTTCTTACTCTTGAGCATACAGCTTACAATTAGCCATACTTAAATATTTCTTTCTGGAGACAGATTCCAACTTTTTGAAGCATTTGACCTTGTGATTTGTTTAGAGTTCATGCAAAAGCAGGTCAAACCGGAAATTGAATTCTTGTAGACAGGAATCCCTTCATTAGTGCAGCTAATGTGTACATCAGTAACTATAAAAAAATCTGCTTTCAATTACTATGGTTAAAGTGAAGACTATTTTAAAGCACTAATCAAATATT